CATGCATACACACACACACACACACACACACACACACACACCTTGTCTTCGCTTGTTGGTTCCTTTGCGAATATGGCAAAGAGGCTGATGGCGACGGTGCCGATGCGCAGCGCCCACCACAGAATCTGGTCGGTGATGGCGCAGGAGGCCATGGCTACATCGTCGGCACCAGCAAGCACGCGGCCGTGGCCGTGCACAGCTGATGATGACGATGAAGATGATGAAGCCGATGCTGCTGCTGCTGATGATGCTCTGGGGATGAGACCGCTTGGTGCAACAACAAAGAGGACAACGAGGAGTGCGCACATGAGCAGGCGCGTTGCGTCGCTCGTGGTGCCGGGGCTCGCCCTCTGGCATTCGACACCTGCGGTGGCGGCATTGGTGGTGTCCATGGCGGTGGCAGCGGCTGCTGGGCTCGGTGGCCGCGTGTCTGGGGACGTCGCTGTGTCGGACAGCTCGGGGTTGCCGTTGCTGCCGGATGACGAACTGCGCGAGTGGTGGCAGTGCGCAGGGCGGCCCTGCTGCTGCTGTTGCTGTTGGCTTGGCTGGTGCTGTTGTTGTTGTGTTTGATGGTGGTGATGGTGGTGGGCGTTTGCCTGCTGAGCAGCGGGCGTGGCAGCGGTTGCTGCAGCGGTGCGCGGCTGCTGCAGCGGGCGCTTGTGCATGTCCAGGAGAACGGGACGCGGCTGGCCCGTGGCGGCGATGCGGTCGGCGAGGGCGTGAGCAAGGGCAGCAAGGTGCTCGTTCTCGCTGCGCAGGTGGCGGATGTAGTCAATTGACTTCTGCAACACGGCCGCCTTGTTCGTCTGCAGTGCGAGTGTGATGGTGGTGCATTCGCAAACGAGATGGGCGAGTCATGGTGAGGTGATGATGATGCGAACGCACGATGGAAGAGCAGCATAGTCGAGAATAGCACTTGAAGCTTGCTCAACCACGCCAACACACACACACACACACAGACACACACACATCCACGATACATAACGCACAGACACAGACACACAGACACGCGCACAGTCGCAGACACACAATCAAATACACACACACACACACACACACCACGTGTTCAGGCAGACCTTTGCTGTTGGGCCGGACATCCATGTGAGGGGAAGAAGGGTCTTGAGATCAGCAATGCGGTCATTGATGCTGTTGCGGTATCGCTTCTCCACAACGTTGTGCGCCTTCCGCCGCGCCACTTGCTTCTTCTTCGTGGGGTTCTCCTCCGTCAACACAGCCTGTTCCCGCTTCACCGGCCCCACTGCCGTGTACTGCTGCGAGTACTGCTGCTGCTGATGGCGCGCTGGTGCTTGCTGCTGCTGTGGAAGATGGAACTCTGGGAAGAACGACGTGCTGAGCGGGCCACCAGTGGCAGCAGCTGTTGTTGTTGGTGTGGACACGGCTGTGGATGCTGCGCTTGAGGCCTGGGAAGCCTTACGCTTTGCTGCTCCCCGCCGCCGCTGCCCGCTCTTGCGGCCGACCTGCCCTTGGCTCTGTTGTTGCTGCTGGCTTTGCTGTTGCTGCTGCTGGGTGGGCGGCACCGTGTATGCGGCGGCCTGGAGTGCGACGAGGCGGAAGTTTGGCAGCATGTTGTGGCCGCTGATATCATCTGATGAGGCAAACGGCAACGCGTTTGCACGACTCATGCCCTGCACATCACCGCCGCCGCCATTGGGGCTGGCACTGCTGTTGGTGGTGGTGGTGGTGGCGGCGGCGAACTGCTGCTGCTGCTGCTGCTGCAAGGGCGGGGTGGAAGAAGACGTGACCGATGTCGGGCTGTGACGTTGTTGCTGCTGCTGGGGTGGCTGGTGCGTGTTTGCTGCCAGTGGCATGGAGAGAAAGTCAAAGTGGCTGCTTGGCAGGTGGCTTGTAGGTGACACGTTGGTTTCATGCTGGTGCTGTTGCTGCGAAGAACCGTTGGTGGACACGTCCAACATGTTGCCATTCGAAGGCTGCTGCTGCTGATGTGGTCGTTGAAATTGCTGCTGCTGCTGCTGTTGTTGTTGTTGTTGTTGTTGATGCTGTTGTTGGTGGGGCAATGTGGGGGTGGGGAGGACAGCGCTGTCAGTGTGGTGCTGCCCGTGGTGCACGTCGGCAGCGGTGGTGGTGTCGGTACCGCTGCTGCTGGTATGGTGTGAGTATTGGGACTGAGGGGAGGACCCGGACGTGGAGTTGTGGGAGCTGCCGGGGCGGTCGGCCGCCAGAGGCAGCAGGTCCAGCCCCGGTGCGGTGGCGAGCGCGGAGGTGTGGCTCGTGTTGTAGTCATGGTCCACGTCCGGCAGCAGGTTTTGGGGCGCCTGCACCTCGCTTGGCAGTGGCAGGTCCATGGCGTCCTCCATCAAGTCCCCATAGTGCAGAAAGTCCTAACGGAATGTTGGTTGTATGTGTGCGTATATGCATGTACGAGTGTATGAGTATACGAGTAATTGTGTACGAGTGTGTACGAGTGAGTGTGCGTGTGTGTCAGGTGCAAGAGCAACAAGAGGTGAGCGTCGCGCAAGCCATGCCAATGTTCGACCGAATAGGTGTTGCAACTGCAACTTCAAAACACACACACACACACACACAAATGAATGGGACGTACGTTTCCATCGAGGGGGCTGGGATCTGCTGGCATATCCAGTCCTACGCAAACCAATCCAAGTGCAAGGTGAGAACGACGCACAAACAAACAAGACAACCAGGCAAGAGCGCCAGGCAAGAGCACCAGACAAGAGCACCGAGCAAGACAACCAGGCAAGAGCACCAAGCAATAGGTGGCAGGTTTGAATGATGACGGAAGATGGCCTGCAAAACGAGCACACACCCACCGTCAAAGGGGAGCGACATAAAGTCATCGTGTGTGTCCTCATGCTGATGGTACTGATGCTGCTGCTGCTGTTGATGGTGCTGCTGCCCCATGCCATTGTCGTGAGGGAGCATGGAGCCCATCTCCATCACCATGGCTGGCTGTTCGTTGCCTCCGTTTGGTTGGTTCTGGTGCGTTGGAACTCTACCAAGCCACACACTCACACACTCACACACTCACACACACACACACAAAGACGACGGATCGAAGGGCGCTTTCGTGTGCAGATAAGGGGGTGGGTCCGAGATGGAGCAAGATGGCGCAATCGATGACAGTTGTAGAGGGGGGTGGGTGGGGACAGGTTGAGAGCAGGAGCAGGAGCTGGGGTTGGAGTTGGAGAGAAGGTGGCTGGCTGGCTGCTTGTGGCTGGGTGCTTGTGGCTCGAAGCGTCCTCTTCCCCCTTGGCTTCACTTTGGCTGGAAAAATGGTGGATAATTTAGATCAAATTTCCCAAATCAGGTGACCGGTCTGACCCTGCACAAAAACAAGACAAACTCGTTTGCGTGCATTCACGACAGCGCGACACACAAAGAGATATGAGTCGCCGCAAACGAAGTGGCCGTGCTGCTGGCGGGAGTGGCGGTGACAGCCGTGACACTGGTCGTGGTGGCCGTGGTGGTGGTGGAAGCAGGCGTGTGAGCGATGATGCCGGTGCCACCACAGACACGGGCACAGCGAGAGCCACGAGGATGGGTGTCCCACCAAGACTGGCGCCGTCGACGACCGCAGCAACACCACACACGGGCGCCACAACCACCCCTCCATCCACTTCATCATCAGCAACAACAACAACGGGTGCGACGACGGCGACACGCACGCCCACAACCACACACAGCAGCGCACCAACCACTGTCCCTGCAGAAGACCGCCCATCTCCAGCGACACCATCATCGGTGCGACCGTCACATCATCAGCTGTCGTCAACAATGACACCGACCACCACAACAGCAGCAGCTGTGGGCTCAGCTCCATCCCCATTGCCGTCTTCTGCTTCCTCCACAGCGATTGTTGTGGATGACTACTTACCGTCCTCGGGCGGGCTGCGAACATCCACGCTGGACATGCCAGGGGGTGTTGTCCTGGTGGACAAGCGAGCACCGCCACCTCCACCTCCTCCGCCACCGCCTCCCCCGCCACCGCCTCCACCACCTCCACCTCCGCCGCGTCTGCCAACCCCGCCACCAGAGATTGTCACTCAACTCCTGCCAAACCAGGCCATCGATGTTGGAAGCGCACCCGTGCACATTGCTGCTGTTCCGGGCAAGGCTGCTGTTGTCGTCGTCGATCACAAACGTACGCAGCCTCACACCACTTGCTTGTGTGTGTGTGTGTGTGTGTGTGTTTGCGTGCGCGCTTGTTGTGTGTGTGTGTGCGCGCTTGTTGTGTGTGTGTGTGTATGTGTGTGTGTCTGTGTGCTATGCCTCTGTTGCTTGTGTGAACTCACTTGTATTCTCCACATCACACGCATCACCGCTTCAGGGTTGCACGTGTTCACGTGGGAGGATCAGCAGCGTCATGTCAAGCACTACAACCTTCCAGCCACGCTCCCCAGGGCATACGTCTCGGGCATCACCTGCCTTGTTTCCGGTACGCTTGGAGGAGATGCACGCACGCGCGCGCGTGTGTGTGTGCGTGTGTGAGGGGCTGTAGTATGTGAGCTGGTGTTTACCTTCCCATCTGTGTGTGCGTATGTATGCTTGTTGGTGTGTGTGTGTGTGTGTGTGTGTGTGTTCAACTGTACTTCTGTCCATTTCTGTGCTTGTTGTGTGTCTGTGGTTTTATCTGTCAACCCCGGTTACGCGCGCCACTGTCCTCATGTTAATATGCTGCTGTGCCAGATGAGCTGTCGGTTGTGATGAGTGCAAGGCAGAAGCTTTACCGGCTGAAGGAAGACCCCAACCGCCCCGATTCCCTGGTCAGCCACAACAAATGTGCCCACCACCGTGCTCTTGCCAACGCGCCATCACCTGCACGTCACGCTTGGTCAACGCATGCGGCTTAATTCGTGTCCGCCCCTTGCCCCATTTCCCCTCGTTCACAATCACCACTCACCACCACCATCACCATCATCAATTGCATCCTCCTCCTCATCAATTGCATCACCCATCACAACTTCCCCATGCCACTGCGAACCACCACCAGTCTGTGACATCGTTCCGACGGCCGCACGCGTCGATGATCACAGCCGTCGGGCACATACCGGGCAAGGGCGACGAGTTTATCTCCGCCTCCCGCTGCGGTGAGGTCAAGCTTTGGCAGGGCACCGCATGCATGCGCGTCATTGGCAGCAAGACCGACATTACAACTGTGAGCCTCTTAATTGTGTGCATGTGTGTTTGCGTGTGTGTGTGTGTGCATGTGTGTGTTTGCGTGTGTGTTTGCGTGTGTTTGCGTGTGTGTGTGTGTGTGTGTTTGCGTGTGTGTGTGTGTGTTTGCGTGTGTGTGTGTGTGTGTGTGAATGTTTATGTGAATGTGTGTGTATGTGAATGTGTGTGTGTGCCGCTTGTTACCCCCCCCCACAACGACCGAGTGCGTGCGTTTGTCCAGTGTTAGTGCGCTTGCTCGAACTCTACTTGCGTATGTGTGTTGTGTCGTGTTGATGCGCCATCACGATCACGTTTCTAATCTCCCCCGTCTATTATCTCCCCCATCACCTCATTCCCGTCCACAACACAAACTTCAGATGGCCATCAGTGCAAGAGGGGCGCACGTGGCTGTTGGCACAGACAAAGGCGGCGTGACGGTGCACACGCTGCAAGGTAACCTGACCAGCACCAACCTCGAGCCTGCTGCTGTGGCAGAGAAGGTGCAGTCCCTGGCCTGGGCCCCCGACAGCGGCCACCTCGCAGCCTGCGCAGCGAAACGCATCGTCGTCTGGTGCGTTGCACGTGTGCAAGTAGTTTTGTTATGTCTATATTTGTGTGTGCAGGTGTCTTTGTGTGTGTGTGTGTGCATGTGCGTGTATATTTGTCTCTGTGTCTTTGTTTGCTTGTTTTTGTTGGGTGTCTATGCATTGTTTGTATGTCGATGTGATCGTCCGTCCAATCCCCATCTGTCTGTGCATCAACTGCTCACCACCACTGTCACCACCACCGTCACCGCCGCTCCTTTGATAGGAAAATCGGGCGCCCAAACGAACCCTCTCCCGTCGTCGCCCGCGTCTCAGAGCCAACAAACGTCCGTGCTCATGGTTCTCGCATGGCATGTGTGTGCATACGTGTATGTATATGTGTGTTACACTCTGCCCTCTGGCTTGCTTCGTCGTTGATGAAAGAGTACCCACTCATTCATTCGGTCCCTATTCGCGTGCATGCACAGGTGTTGCAAGTTGCCTGGCAAACACCCTCAACATTCATCAGGTTTGCCTTGCTATGTCCACTGCCCTCCCCGCGCCAAACTTGAATCAAACCTTGCAACACACACACACACACACACACACACACACACACACACTCTCTCTCTCTCTCAGACACACACACAGACACACACAAACAAGCAAACAAACACACAAACACACTCACAGACACACACGTGTTCGCGGCTCCATCATGGCGTGCTCACTTCTCTCCTGTCCACTGCACTGCGTCCCTCCCTGCGTCTGCGTTGTGTGTCACAGCCTGTGCGTGGCGGAGAAGCACCAGCTCGTGCTATGGTCGCTGCGGTCCGGTGTTCCGCTCGTCACCTTTGGTGGCATGTCCGCGAATGCCCCGAGGGACTACAAACACATGTGCTTTCTTCCCCACTGCCCGCGTAACGTCTTCCTCTTCAGCGCAAGCATCACCGTCAAGGTGCGTATGTGCGTGTGTGCGTGCGTGTGTGTGTGTGCATGTGTATGTGCGTGTGCATGTACGTATGTGTGTGTATGTGTGCGTGTCTGCATCTTTCGATGTGGTTGGCTCCCATTGTTGTTTACCTTATTTTAGCTCGTGTGCCCACTACCTTGTTCCTTTATTGGTGTGCTTGGCTTTTAATTGTGCACCCTCTTCTCCACTGCTTCGTGCCCGCACCGCCCCGATGTCATCACGTATGTTCATTCGTGCGACTGCAGCGCCGTGGGCCGTCCCACGCCAAGACGCTCAAGGACAAGCTCTGTGTTGAGGTGATCCCCGCCTCGTACAAAGTCCACAACAGGCTGGAAACCATGTGCGTGCGTGCATACACACGCGCAATGACTCGCGCTGCTGCATGCATGTGTGCTGCGTGTGTGCTGCGTGTGCTGCGTGTGTGCTGCGTGTGTGCTGCGTGTGCCGCGTGTGTGATGTGTGTGTGTGATGCGCGTATGATGCGTGTGCACGCCTTTTCTCGGCTGTGCTTGCGTTTTTTGCTTGGTTGCACAATTGCACCTGCTCACATGCAACGTGTTGCGTCGCCATTGCTGGTGTTGCAGGGCACGCGGTGTCGTGTACTCTCCGCGAGAGGCATTTGAATTCTAGTGAGTGGCAGACCACGCAGTGTAATGGCGCTCACATTTGCCTGTGCTGGCATGTCCACCTGTCCATACCTCCCATTCTGCCTCCTTGTGCTTTGCCGCTTTCTCACCACCACAACACCACCATCCACGTATGACAACCGCCATCGCCCCCATCAGCAACCCTCGATCACTGTCGCCATCAGAAGACGAGGAAGAAGTGGCTGATGATGATGATGATGATGATGATGGAGAGGGTGAACAGCAACACGATGATGAAGATGATGAAGAGCAACAACAGACGGTGGTCCTCGGCTCCCGGAAATCACAGGCTCGCTTCGTCAAGTGAGATTGTGCTTGCGATGGTGACCGCACCAATGTGCTCGTGAAGAAGAAGAGAGCCAGACACACACACACACACACTTAAACACACACACACACACCATCTCCGGTTGTGCCGCTGCAGGTTTGACATGGTTGACGAGGAGACGGCGCTTGTGCGGTATCTGCTGGAGAATTACGCCATCTCCGGGCGCAACACCGCCGCCGTCTGCATGCACAACGCCGTCGTCGCCCGCACAGCCGGCGTGTACGACGAGGCGCAGGTGACACTGCTCTTGCAACGGCAGGGGAACGCCTGCTGCTCTGTGTTCGGGTGGTCTTTGGGAATTCTCGTGAAACCATGCGAACCGGTCACCCACTCACCCACTTACTTGCTGACTCGCTTGCTCACTCACCCGCTCACTGCCTCACTTGCTCACTCACTTGGCCACAATGGCTCAACCCCTCACTCATCCAAATACTCCCTGACTCACTCACACACTCACTCTCTTGCACATGGCCCGACCATCCTGCGAGCAGACGTGGCTGATGTGCTGTTCGTTCCTGCAGCACGAGGGGCCGTCGACGTCACCGGAGGAGAAGCCTGCGCCGCCGCGGAAGCAGTGGTGGCAGCTGTCTGGTCCCGAGCGCATGCGGTACATGGAGTACAGGCGCGCGATTGAGCGGAAGAGAGACCGCCAGTACTGGCGGAGGGTGGAGGCGAAGAGGCGCCACAACGAGCGCGAAGCTGCACGCAAGGCCTGGGAGGAGCGGGAGCTGAACAAACGGCTGCCCTCGCCAACGCCGAAGAGTGGGTACACGGGCACCGTACGCGTGCAGGACGGCGTGTACGTCCACCACGACGGTGTTGAAGATGACGACATGGCAGCCGCGTTGGAGCGCGCTGATGCTGATGCTGATAATGGTGGTGATGACAATGGTGGCGCTGCGCGGCTTCTTCGCATATGCGATTACGACGACATCGACGACATCGACGACGATGACGACGATGATGATGGCGATGAAAGCGGGACTGGTGATCGCGATGGGGTTCGGGCAGGCAACGCGACCGCAGCTGACAAACACGAGCGCAAGGAAGAACATCATCATCATCAGCAGCAGCAGCATACGAAGAAGCATACGAAGAAGGACGAGAAGAAGGACGAGAAGGATAAGAAAAAAACACCCATGAAGTATGCACTCCTGCTCCTGTTTTTGTGTTTGTGCTTGCGATTGTGATTGCGCTTGTGCTTGTGATTGCGTGTGTCCGCCTCGGCACACTGACGTGTCTGCGTACAGGTATTCCGTTCCTGAATGTCTCCTCTCACTTTGTGCATGTGCTGCGTGCCGTGTGCTGTGTGATGATGTGTGGTGCGTGGTTGAGCAGAAACTGGCGGAAGAAAGGTGCTTCTTCGCGGTTCGACATTGGCATGGACACGGCCACCCTTCCGTTCCCAGAGGACGGCGGTGCTCCGCCCGCTCAGCGTGAGCCGCTCGTCTCCCTCCAGCAACAGATTGTCACCGACGTCGCGCCGGAAGTGCCGCTGCAGGATGCAGATGCAGGTGAGCCAGACCACCTCGCAACCACAGAGCATAGCATGGATTGCGGTCTTGCAGCTCTTGTGCATTGCTTGTCGTGGCGAGGAAATTTAACTGATTTGGTTGCCTCGTTTATCTCGTTGTCAATTTGTCTGGTTGTGTATGCATGGTTATCCTTCCATACGTTCTTGTGTTGATTGCGCGCCTACTGTTGTCTTTCCTCCTCCCTCTCCATATCCTTACTCATCCTCCCGTGCGCATCACCTTCGGCCGTTCCTGCTGCTGCAGGTGTTGCCAGCGACGTCGGCGGCGACGACCAGCAGGACGCCATCCATTTGCACGCCATCCACCTCGAGTCGCCAGACCTGACACACCTCCTCTACGAGACCATGGAGTACTACGTCGAAACCGGAAACGTCATCATGTCAGTCGCTGCGCACTTCCACACCAAGCACAATGCATCCAACAACAACAACAACAGCAGCAGCAGCACGACACATCACTTGAGCAACATTGCACACACTGCTGTTTTGGCGTTGCCTGGCGTGTTCTGTCTGATGCAAGACTAAACGAGACGACGGTGTGTGTGTGTGTGTGTGTGTGTGTGTTTGCGCTTTTGCTTTGCATGCCAGGGCGTGCACGATGGTGCTTGCGATTGGGCCAATTGCGCGGGACGTTGTGCCGGCTCACGTGCTGGAGGAGTGGTTTTCCGCATACGTCGACATCCTCGCCAGATTCAACATGTGGTTCAGGCGGTGCGTTACAGGTCACTGCTGCCATTCCTTCCACCCACACACACGCGCACAGAGATACAAAATTGTACGCAGACATACACAGTTGCACACACTCACACGCTCTCGCACACACATACTCACACCTCGCACGCACTCACTCTCTCGCCTGTTGCTGTTCATGGTTGACAGGGCGCAAGTGCTGCGTGCGTGCGGGCTGAGGAGCATCACGAATGACCACCAGCGCGACATTGTCTATCAGTCCGTCTGCGGGCGCTGCAACGAATCCATCCCACCAGGCAAACCCTGCCGCTCCTGCAACAAACCAGGTACAGTCACACATTCACACACATGCATACACATTCACACACATGCACATTCACACACACAAGCACACACACACACATTCACACACACGCATGCACATTCACACACACAAGCACACACACACACATTCACACACACGCATGCACATTCACACACACACACACACACACACACACACACACACACACACACACACACACACACGCACGCAAGCACCCCCCCCCCCACTTGCACACGTGTGTACATTCCACGCATGCTTGCCGCTCACATCTCCCTCGTGCACATGTCACGTGTCATTCTTTGTGCGTTTGCTTCAGTTGTGTGCGCCATCTGCCGCCTGCCTGTGACGTCGCTGCTGGTGTGGTGCTGGTGCGGCCACGGCGGCCACGCCCACCACATGTACGAGTGGTTCTCCAAGCACCACAGGTGCCCTGATGGGCGATGCGGGCATCAGTGCGAAGTGTTCCGCGTTCGCGCGCAAGCCAACGACAGCGACGAAGAAGGCGAAGAGGAGCAGCTACAGCTACCACCTCAACCACAGACACTGTCTGCCCGCCAGAAGAGCGCGAAGAAGCTCGCAGCTGGGGCGGACGGCGATGATGGCGCTGCTTGGTCCCCCCATGGCCGCTTTGACTTCCATGGCCATGATGGGGGTGACAGCGACGAAGACAGCACGGGCGATGAGGATGATGGAGAACCGTTCCGTGCGCGCTTCTCGGTCGGCCGCGTCCCGCGCGATGAGTTGCACTTTGCCGGCCCGCCCCAGCACTACGAGGGAGCACTGCACGCAGCCAACACGCAGCAGCTGCCCAGCCGTGCAGGAACTGCAACCGCCACGCTGACGTCGCTGTCTGGGGTGACTGGATCAACCTATGCTGATCACGATGATCGTGCTGCTTGTGGTGATTTTGGAAGTGACCATGGAAGTGCTGTCGCTGATGATGACTTTGACGATGGCAGTGATGATGATGATGATGATGATGGCGGTGGCGGTGGTGGCGGTCATGATTATGACGGTGATGGTGACTATGATGACGATGATGACAGGCTTGGGCGACAAGCATTCGTGTCCTTCTACCAGCCGTCATCGCCCTCACTCCCCTCGTGTGCGCTTTCGTGCTCACGCGCGCCGTCTTCATCCTCCTCCGATCTGTCCACGGCAGCAGAGGCTGCCCTGTCCCCGCCACCTGCGCCCCGGCTCCCGTCAATTGTGCCGTCCCCAAGGCCTCCGTCCCCTTCAGGAGCGCCCGTTGCCCTGCGCGGGGTGTTGGTGGCGCGCGCTGAGGCAGTGCCGCCGCCACGCCTCATGTCGTCCATTCTTTCGGCAATGGAGGACGATGCGAAGAAAGCGGAGAAGGCGCAGGGCACCGGCGAAGCCGACGATGGCGACGCAGCAATGCCCGCCTCATCTGCGTCGCGGCCGAAGCGCCGCAAGCGACAGAAGCGGCGGCGACGCAGACCAACGAATCCGGTGGTCCGCGGCGGGAGGAGGCAGGCGGTGCGCCCCGCAACTGTGCCCCAGGAGTACGTCATGGACTCGATCCTGTCCGCTGTTGGCGCCAACGATGCTGCTGCCGCTGATGATGTTAGGGGCGCAATGCACGAGCCACGACGCCGTCGACAGCAGCAGCAGCAGCAGCAGCACACGCCGTCGCCTCAACGCCTGCCACACCGGCGAGAGCTACAACCGTCCCCTGCGTCACGCAGTGCGCGCTCTTCCAGCGTGGACTCGCGTGGATCTGGACACCACGGTGAGCCTGTTGGAGGCCCACATGAACACGGCCGCCAACGACGATACCGCCAGCAGCAGCGCGCCTCGTCCCTGCGCGATACACCACAGCCACTCGGCAAGGACCGCTTTCGCTGAGGACATGTGTGTGTGTGCGTGTGTGTGTGTGTGTGTGTGTGTGTGTGTGTGTGTGTGTGTGTGTGTGTGTGTGTGTGTGTGTGTGTGTGTGTGTGTGTGTGTGTGTGTGTGTGTGTGTGTGTGGCTGGTGTGTGTGTGGGGGGGGTGTGTGTGTGTGTGTATGTGTATTTGTTTTCCGCGCGGTTTTTTCTTTCTTGCTTGCTTGTCCCTCCTTGCAAAACACCGCATTGTGGATAATTGACGTAAAATATACCCGATTTTCAGCAAGTCAACGCCAACGATCACAACAAACAACAACATGAGCGACAGCGCTACGCCAGCGTCGCGGCCGACGGAGCTGCGGTTGGAGGGTGTGATCCAGCCTGTGAATGGAGTGGCGTTTGCGGTAGACATTGGCGGGAGCCTAGCCAAGCTTGCGTACTACGCAGTCCACAAGCGAAGGACCCTGTCCGTGAAAGGAGACGAACATCGCCCATCATCACTACACGTGAGTGAGTGAGTGAGTGTGTGTGTGTGAGTGAGTACGTGAGTGAGTATGTGTGAGAGAGTGTGTGTGTGAGTGAGTGAGTGAGTGAGTGAGTGAGCGAGTGAGTGAGTGTGTGTGTGTGAGTGAGTAAGTGCGTGTGTGAGTGAGTGAGTGTGTGTGTGTGTGTGTGAGTGAGTAAGTGCGCGTGTGTGTGAGTGAGTTTTTTTTTTTTTTGTTTTCGTGCATGCATCCATGTAGTGTGTAGAAGACCACAACTCTCATCCATCGTGCACGTGTTTGCAGGCGGGGAGTGGCGTGAAGCCAGCCAACGCTGGAGATCAGAATGGCGGCAGCAGTGCCGGCCTTGAGAACGGTGATGACGCAAGCACAAGTGGCACTGCCGAAGACCAGAAACCCGACCCCACCTCCGCCGCGCGTGCCAACAGCCTGCCATGTCCTCCCTCATCCTCCTACACTGTCCTGGAAGAGGAGGTGGAGGTCGGGCGGCTGCACCTGTGCTACTTTAAGACGACGGAGCTGGAGGAGTGCGTGCGCTTCATCGAAGACAAAATGGACAGCGGTGACCCGTGCGTCGTGCGAGCAACCGGCGGCGGCGCGCACAAGTACCCTGCGCTCTTTGCAAGCAACAACATGGACGTGCACAAGCTGGACGAAATGGAGTGTCTTGTCCGCGGCAGCAACTACCTCCTGAAATCCGTGCCGGACGAGGCGTTCACCTTCAACAAGGACACGACCCCTCAGCGCCAGTTTTTCCGGCCAAGCAGCGACATTTTTCCTTACCTCCTCGTCAACATCGGTTCTGGCGTGAGCATCATCAAAGTGGAGTCCGACACGGCCTTTGAGCGCGTCGACGGCAGCGCGCTTGGCGGTGGCACGTTCTGGGGGCTGGGCTCCCTGCTCACGGGCGCGGGCGGGTTTGACGAGATCCTCGACCTCGCCCAGCGTGGGGACTGCCGTAACGCAGACATGCTCGTGCGCGACATTTACGGCGAAACAACGCCACAGTCGCTTGGGCTGGACCCAGACCTCACGGCATCCTGCTTTGGCAAGGCGCGCAGTCGCTCGCACACATCAAAGCAGAAGCAGCAACAACAACAACAATCACAACAACAATCACAACAGCAACAACATCTTTCGATCACAACAGCAGCAGCAACCATCACAACAACAACAACAA